ATCTTTTCACTAGGAAACAATATTGTATGTCCTCTATGTGTACATTCATCTTTGGACAAAACGAACTTGCTTTTCTTGCGGAGGAGCGTCTAACAGAGGTAAGAGCTTTGAGTTTTGCTTTTCTTACTTTTGTAAATGGGAGATTTGAAGATTTGAGTTTTTGTTTTCTTGCTTTTGCAAATGAGGGGAGAGTAGGGTCGGAGAAATGAGATTTTTTTATGTGAGCGATGGGGTGGGATGGATTTAGTGTGATATTTTTTTTTTACTTTTTGTACTATTTTTTCGTCTAATCAAATCAACTTTAATTAAGGATACTCAAGGTATTAAGGGGCTGTTCTCTTTGTGTTTCAGTTTTGTGTTTTGTGTTTTGAATTCGTTTTGTGTTTTGTGTTTTGAGTGTCTGTTTTGAAATTTCTGAAAATGCGTTTTGTTTGTCATTCTGAAAAACTGTTTCTGAAAACATGAAAATGGAAAACGCGTTTACTTTGAAATTTTGAGAATTTTTTTAATAATATTTTATTCAAAAAAATCTGATTATTCAATAAATTTTAATGGTTTAATGTTAATATAGTATTAAATAACATATAAATTTTGAAATTGGTGAAATTTCAAATTTTTTTTTTCCCAGATATTAAAAACACAACCTAAATTACATTTGACAAGTCCATGTTTTTGTTATTGTACGTAACTTGTGACAAGAATTAACTAGCATCAAGTCCCAACCAAACATAATCAAGTTGAACAAAAGGAGAGCACTAAACTCTTGTTGACATGGTAATAAATATTTTGAAATTAATCTTATCGAGTTCATATTAGTTCTCACAATTCTTGCCAAATACAATTTTAATCGTCTAAACACGATGACTATCATCAGTAATATTATTATTTATTGAAAATCGGCCGACAAATGCAATAGCATACACATCTTACTTCCTAATTTTGCCTCACTATTGCACACCATATATAGGACAAATGGGAACAAATTCAAACCATATTCATGATTCCTCAGCCAATTTTCCAAAGGAGTGTTATATATTGCACACCATATATATGCTCTTAATTCCAAATGAGTGTTATTTACATAAATCAATATCTAGTTCGTAGCATATTTAATTACAAT